GGGGAGCCAAGCCAGAACCTTCTCTAGACAGCCAAACGCAGCCTCCCTCCCTGTGTACAGACCCGGCTTTCTGACAATCTACCAAGCTTGGTCAAGACACAGGGACAGCCATCTTGCACCTAGCCCGTGACCTGCACCTGCAGGGACCTCAGAGAGGACAGGAAGACAAACAGGAGGTTGGCATGATGCTCACTGTAGCCTGCCTTCCTCCTCTTCCATGTCAGATCTGACATGGTGGATCCTCATGACATGGGGCACACAAGTTCGAGGCAGCAACCCCCAGTCCACACAGCCCAGGGTCCTCATCCCACAAGCAGACAAGCACTTCAGGACGGCAGCAACAGGGAGCTCAGGAGTCTTGAACACTGCCAGATTCCTAGGGCATGTCCAGGAGTGCTCACCCCAGGAGTGTGAGAAGCTGGGTTGGCTGCCTTCCAACAGAAAGTCCCTCCTCTAATATCTGTATATTCAAAGAGATTCGGGTCAAGATTAATAAATCATTTATTTTTAGCAAGCTTTGTCCAAAGACTATTATATGATGTCATACAATTTGTTTCTCCTGGTTATCCATATATCTTCGACATCTTTGATTTTCTTGAGTCATTTTTTAAAGAATTTGTGTGCATACGTGTGTGTGTGATGGGGGACACACATGCCATGGCACACATGTGGAAGTCAGAGGACAGCTTTGTGGGGCTGGTTCTCTCCTTCCGCCTTTCCACGGGTTCTGAGCATCGAACTCAGGGCACCTGGATTGTGCAGCGAGCACCAGTTCAGCCGCCTTACTGGCCTTTGAGTCACACTTTTAAGAGGCAAAATAATATTCCATTTTATGAAAGCAATATGTAACTAGCGAGGCCGCATCAAAGGGTTCTATAATACTTTTTAAACTTTGCTTACTATGATTATGAGCAATGCCACAATAACTATATTTATATTTAAGCAAATATGTTTGAGGTTTAGATAATATGTATCTTAAATTAAATGTCACCTACTATGTGTGGTAGTTGGGATAAGAATGGCTCTCATAGTCTCTTTTATCTGAATTCTTGGTTCCCAGTTAATAGAACTTTTTGGAAAGGTTGAGTAGGTATGTCCTCGTTGGAGGTGTACCTCTGGACCCACGCCAGGCCAGTCTGTCTCTCTCTCTCTCTCTCTCTCTCTCTCTCTCTCTCCCCTCACCTGTTACCTAAAGATCAGGATGTAAAGCTCTCAGCTACTGCTCTAATGCCATGCATGCCTGTTTCACACCATGATGACCGTGAACTAACCCATTAAAAGTGTGAGCAAGTCCTCCATTAAATGCCTTCTTTTGTAAGAGTTCCTGAGTCATGGTGTCTCTTCACAGCAATAGAATAGTAACTAAGACTACGCATGATAGATCTCTAGCAACAGAATGTCTAGTCCAATCGGCCTGTGCTTTGTGGGTGCATATGTTCACGTTCATGTGTGTATTTATGCACATCTGTGTATATATTTGCACAGGTATGTCAATGCACATTGCATATGTGTGCACATGGGTGTAGAGGCCAGAGGTCAATGTTGGTTTCTTCCTCAGTCACTCTCCATCATATCTTTTTCTCTGTTCTCTTATGTGGCTTTGTGTGTCTGGGTGGGTGGGTGTGTGTCTGGGTGGGTGGGTGGGTGTGTGTCTGGGTGTGTGGGTGTGGGTGTGTAGGTGTGTGTCTGGGTGTGTGGGTGTGTGGGTGTGGTTGTGTAGGTGTGTGTCTGGGTGTGTGGTGTGGGTGTGGGTGTGTGTGGGTGTGTGGTGTGGGTGTGGGTGTGTGTGGGTGTGTAGGTGTGTGTCTGGGTGTGTGGGTGTGCGTGAGCACACGTGTACTGAAAATGTCCGAGGACCACCTGTGGGAGAATGTTCTCTCCCTTTACTATGTGGGTCTGGGAAGCAAACTCAGGTCATCAGACTTAAAATAACAAACACCCTCTCCTGCTCAGCCATCTTGCCACCTCCACTTCACTCCACCTTTCTGAGACAGGATCTCACTTTCCGTGGGGCAGGAAGGCCCATGAAGCCTCCTGCCTCTGCCTCCCTAGCACCGAGGTTAGAGGTGCTTGCACGGCAAGCTCTTCACTGAGTCATCTTCCAGCTCTGAGCCAGTACTTTTTAAATGCTAAAGGTGCTGTTAAGATTTCCCAGAGCAGGAACAAACATCTCTGAGAAGCACGTATGTATGGTTTTAAAGTTTCTGATTCCTGACCTGGGCTGTTTATTGTCTCTCAACACCTGAGCCCTGGCTAGAACAGGCCTCACAAGACAGAACAGCTGTACCCATGGGGGATAAGGACACCCCTAAAGGCCAGCACTCACAGAGCCATGGCTCCTCTCTCCAGAGCAGGCCCTGCTCTTGATTACTGAGCATCTTTGGTCTGGGTCTTTCTCCCTAGATAGGCATTTCCACCTCATGCCTGGAGCAGAGACCCTCTAAGTCTTTCCAAGAGTCACTGTGCACTGGAGGGAACAGCTACCAAAACCCGCCAACCTGCCTTCTCCCTTAGCCGTCAAGGCAGGCCAAGGATGGAGGCAGGTCTCCAGCACCTATAAACACTGCGGCTCCCACCTGACCATGGAGATGGGAGCAGATGCTGGGAGGCCAGGATGTCCAATGCGAATCTCTGCAGATAGACTGATCAAACCCTCAAAAATCACTTTTTGCCTCAGTCCCCCGAGCAGCGGTCCATGGCTTCTTAGACACATCATCCACACGGTAAACAGCCTTGGCTCTGTCCACAGGTTAACTGCTCTCTCCTATGAAATAAGCTTAAAACGCTGCTCCCCTCCACCCCTCCCTAAGCCCCCAAGTGAGGTAGGAGCTGGTATCTGCTGAACAGGAAAAGCTTCAAGCTTTGGAAAGGGCTTTGCCAAGCACTATGCAAATCAGAAGCCACCGCTGAGGAGGTGACTCAGGCCCCTGGACGACAAGAATTTGTGGATCAGACAAAAACCCAGCCAGCTCTTCAGGCCTCCCTAGGGCTTCTCTGCCCCAGCTGGGGAAGGGGTCTGTCCTGCTAGGTGCTGAGTCTGGTACTTCCTACGAGGAGAAGGGCATACTATACACACTGTAAGGCATACAGCCCTCACAGCAGTTTTGGGAACCCAGATTTACTGTTCTGTATATCAGTTTTTCATTTTGGCTTAGGCTAGCCAGGCATAGGCTTCTAACACTTATGACTTGTGTGTCTGAATATTCAATAGATATATTAATTTTATAATCATAAAGTAAATGTCTAAAGAGACCTCTCTGCCGCGTGAGGCAGCAGAAAAGCCCTGAACAGGGACTCAAGCAATTTGGATTCCCTGCTGGGCCCATAGGAAATTCCTGTGTGACTTTGAATGAGTTTCTTAACCTGGCTGGATTGAAATAAAGTAAGACACTGGGGTTAATGATGCCTTTTATTCCTTTGAGCTAGATGTATTTGATTTTATGACATCCTGTGACAAGTAACCTTTTTCTTTTCTTTCATTTCTTTCTTCTTAGTTGGGGTCTCATTGCGTATTCTTGGCTGTCCTGGAACTTGCTCTGTAGATCAGGCTAGTTTCAGACTCATAGAGATCCACCTGCCTCTGCCTCCGGAGTGCTGAGATTAAAAGTGTGTGCCACTGTGGCCAGTGTATTCTTTCATTTTTGTTATTGGTTTTGGGTTTTTTTGTTGTTATTGTTAGTTTGTTTTATTTAGACAGGGTCCCATATAGTCCAGGCTGACCTAGAACTCACAAAAAAAAAAGAAAGAAAGAAAGAAAGAAAGAAAAGAAAAGAAAAGACCTCAGGCTGGCCTCAAACATTGATTCCAGATACTAGCAGTGCCACTGCTATTGCTGCTTGGGGTCACTCTCTCCTAGAACCACACTGACCGACACAGCTCCATTGGCTACATGTATCTATTAGGTACTTGAAGTGTGGTTAGATCAAAATGAGTCACGGCAGAGTGCCAAACACACACTGCCATTCAAAAAGAAAATACGAGCATAGAACAAAACGCCCAAGAACTCCCATCATCCCTAGACTGATGCATGCTGGGAGGGCAGTACTCATGCTGACCTCGCGGTCCTGATCACACTGAGGAAGGTGGCTAGAAGTCCAGCCACTTATCTGTCGTTTTCACCTGTCACCTTGACCCATTCACTGGGTAGAGTCCGAAGCAGAAGTCGCCATCCCAGCATTGAGGGGTTCCATTAGACGTAAGGACGCCACACGCTGAGTGGAGGTTGGGGGTCATGTGACATCTGCCTTGACTCCGTCATGTTGCAACCCAGACACAGATGTGAAGACAGCCGTGTGTCTGAAGTGTCACGGCTGGGTCAAAGCAAAGAAGCCTGCACCCCAGGGATGAACTGGACAACCTGACTCTCGCACCCCCAAAGCAAGTTCCAGTTTTAACAAGCTAGCCTTTCATCCCAGAAAGTCACACAGAGGGGTGTGGGAGGTGTTCCCCAGGACATCCTTTCTTCTTTGGGAAAGCACACCTGGGTCAAGGTATCCTTGTAGAGGCTGAAAGGAAGAGAGGGAGCTGGACCAAAGCATTTTTGGTTTTTGGGAGGGAAATCACTGAGGGCTGGCCCCGATGGCTGCTGGCTTTGCTTTTCAAGGGTGACAAGAGGGACAAAAAGAGATGGCACAACACTCCCGTGTCCAGGGAAACTTGAGGCCAACAGGACATATACTGACACAGAAGGAGCGCACGCATGTCTGTGTGCCACATGGGTACCAGGCTTCTGGCGGAAACACATTCTGTTGGGTTTATTATTATTTTGTTTTTATTTTATTATTATTTATTTATTATTGTTTTGTTTTGCTTTTGCTTGCAGTATAGGGATTGAACTCCAGGCCTTGCCCATACCAAGCAAACTCTCTCCTACTGAGCTACAACCCCGGGGCCAAGAAACTCGCCATGTGGACACAAGAGCAACGGGTCTTGCCTTGGGGAGCTCAGGCCTCCCTCCTCACCTCTGCCACTGGCCCAACTGAGCTCCATAGGGCACTCACCAGGCTTTATTTCCAGGAGTCGCAGCTTTGGGTCTTCTGGCGGGTGCAATCGTCGCTTCTTGCGCCAGCAGCGGGCAGGGTACGTGTACAGCTGGCCCGGAGCCAGGCCTGTGGAAAGACAATGTAAAGGGGAAAGGCTATAGACCAGAAAGGGCATCATAGACTACCCTGCCTAACCTGTCACTCACAGAGAGAGACAAGAAGAGCCCAGAGAGGCCAAGTAACTTGTTAATGTCACCCGGTTGGCCACAGAGCAGCCAAGGTATAACTAGCGTGTCATCTCAGACCTCAACTCCATCTATCCCATCATAACGTTCAGCAGGCCCCCCTCGCCAGGCAGAGCAGCCACCTTTCGTAAAAAGGTATTATCTGGCCTGCAGAGACTTGTAAACCACCAGGCTTGTAAGGCAGTGGCCCTGCAGTAACTGTCCTTCTGTCCGGAGCCAAGTTAAACAAGCTCCTTTCAGAGTGGAACAGCTACCTGAGTCTAGACTAAGAAGTGTTTCAAAGGCACAATGTCATAAGAACCAGCTCTGCTCACAGCATCCCGCCACTGCCAGCTCCGGGCCATTTGCAGAGGACAGAAGCCACGGGCAACTCATGGAGGCGTGCCCTGCCCTAGACACCCACTTGTATAGCGTATGCTCCTTGACTTCCTGGTCCATACACCAGACCTCACACAAGGAAATGGGCAGAAGTCCATAGGGTGGCCAAGCACACACTGTCTCCCAAAAGCAGTGGCTTCTAATCCCACCAGCTTCATTTCTATGCCAACCACTCTGCATGCACATATCACATATTAATACACACATACACAGACACACAGTTGTGAGATGGGAAGGCGGCTCAGTGGGTAGAATACTTGCTACGCTAGCATGAGAACCTGAGTTCAATTCCCAGCACAGAGGGAACCCCAAGTGCTAGGTAAGAGAGATAGAGACAGAGGGACCCCAGGGCCTTGCTGGCTAGCCAGTAGAGCTGAAAGAGCAAGCTCTAGGTTCACTGAGTGACCCTGTCTCAAATAATAAGGTGAAGGGCGATGAGAAAGATATCCAAAGTCAATCTCTGACTTCCACATGCATGCATGAGTAAGCACCCATGTACATGTACACATACACACAACAACAACACCCTGATAAAAAAAAGTTAAGAGGAAGAATGGCTTCCCTTGACTGACCAGCAATAAAGGACCCAAAATGACCATGTAACTTTGTATGATAAGTATCATTTTAATGAAACAGTTGTTTTTCAGGATGGTAAATACATTGGAGGTATGTATCTCCATCCCACTGATTCTCAGGAAATATTAAGGCTGGAGTCGGGAAGGTTTAAGGATAGGCCTGCACCAGATAGATAGAAAGTTAGAAGAGTCAAATTAGTTACTCGAGCTCCAGGGACATAGAGATGGGGGCAGGACATGGAGACAGGGGCAGCTGTGAGCTCGCTCTGAGACAAAGCACCCCCAGAGATGGCTCCACGTTTCTGATGTGACTGGCCTGAGGAAGAGTTTATCTCTGGCCCTGTCATTCCTGAGTAGACGCATTCACTCTGGGCCCCATCCAGACATTCAAGCTGCGTCTGGGGAAGGTCCCTCAGAAGCTTAGCAAGGACCCACTCCTCCACATCACAGAACAAGTCCCAGAAATCACTTGGGGCTAGTGATTCTAATCAGCTGAAATGGCAAGAACCTGGAGAACTCAGAAATTCCAGAGCCTGAAATCCACACCAGACCTCTGATCTGAAGCAAGGAATGCCTTGAAGAGACTACAACAACTGTTTTTAAGGAACTTTCTAGGTTGTTTGAATGCCTACTGAAAACATCTGGAGGCCTGAACAGTATCTACTAGCTGCTTGCCTGTGCTCTCTGATGTACCAAGACTGGTTTAATGGAGTTTTCTGTGGAATCTGAAATTCCTCCTATTTCCCCCAAGGTAATATAATTAATTGCCCACATGCTAGAGTCTCCCCTAATGGTTTTGAAAGAGCTGGGATGGCAGGAATCCTGCCATCTCTAGGGTCCCCTATATTTAGTACACCACACTTGGCAGCCGCATCTAGAAGTCATCATATAAACTCAGCCAGAACTAAACAAGATTTAGTAATACAAGAAAGAAGAACCACTGGCTCTGATAGTCCAGGCTCCAGGGTATTCTTTCACCTAGACACAAACCATTCAAGAAAGGCTGGGGATATGACTCCGCAGTAGAGACCTTGCTGATCAGCTACAGGACCCTGAGTTCGGTTCCCAGAACAAGAAAAGAAAGTGGCTTGTTTGACAAACCATCCAAGGGCTCTGGAGGGTGGGCTCTGGCCTCGGTTCTGAGCCCACCTACCTCTGTGTGGCCATCTCTGTGCCATGGGTCTTCTTCTTGCTCCGTCCTCTTCGCTTCCTGCTATTTCCAACCTGAACTGAGACTGCTAAATGAGAAGCTGGTCCTCACCAGCACTCTCAAAGGGTCCAAGGAGCCAAAATTTGAAAATGCCCACACCTGTCTAGGTACTATATGCTCTCTACACTCTAGCCCCTGCTCTGCGGGTTATTGGTACCCAAGATGCCCTACTGGTAGCTTACATCCACTCTCCTGAGGAGCTAAGGTTAGCAATGGAGTGGATGTGGAAGAGATGCTGTTTTTACTCTCTAGCTTGGAGAAGCCCTGTGGTGCAGAAGAACCTCGCATGCATGAGCTTTAGAAAACACCACAGCCCCCAGCAGAGCCTGCCTCCTGCCTATAAGATCAGGTCATCGATAATGCCTACCTCAGGGGAGTCTGATGGGAATTAACTGATGTTTAAGAGGAATCTCTCTGCAACCGTGAAGACTGGATGGGTGTCAGCTGTTGGTCATCACAAGCTACTTGACAGAGATGATTCTTGGATACCGTGCCCATGTGACAACCTTGCCCTTGCCGCTGCTTGGCTCTTCAGCCACCGGGATGGACACGTGCTTCTCTTGTAATTTTGCTTTGAATCCACCTTGTCTCAACAAGTTAATATACCCCAAAGCTGCTTACTCTCTTTCCTCACCCTGCCTGACAGGCTGACAGGCACCAGGGCCGCTTTATATAGGACCAACACATTCCACCCTACAGTTGCCCTTATGGAGGGAAAAGCAGGGCCCCGGGAGACTGATGCTGTTTATCTCATTAGAACAGGAGACTCAAAGGCCTGGCGGGGAGGCGGGGAGGTGGGGTAGTGGGAGAGGAAAGGAAAGGATGGAGCCACAGCCATGGTCAGAGAAACTAACCTTGAGACCTGAGCCTAGGGTTAGGGGTGGGTATAGAGGAGAGGAAAGAGGGGGCAGGAAAAAAGAGGGGAACCAATCCTCCCCAGCAACCAAGACCCCCTCTGCAAACGGCAGCATTGTTGCCTAGAGGAGCGGCCTGTGCAAAAGCAGAGGCGTGACAGGCACACTCGCACAGAAACGTGCACACTTGCTGGGAGAACCGGTTCCCTAGAAAACTGGGCTGTGTTGAGCCTGAGGCTTAAACGGCCAGCAGGTCGCAGACAAATACTTCGCTATCCATGGGGTCCAAGTCTGGGTCTGAGTCTCTCTGGCAACGCCTGAGCTAGGAAGAACTGGGAAGATGGAGTGACACAGGAAAAGCCCAGGAAGAGACTTCAGTGGAGCAGAAAAGGACTGAGTGAATCCCTCTCGCTCCAGCTAGAGTCAAAGGCTGGAAGTTCAAGTCCACTGCGGGAAGGTTTTTTCTGCAACACCCCAAAGGTAGACCCATGGCTATAACCCAGCCTTCCTTGTAAGGGAAAGAAAACTCACACATTCACAGAGCAGTGTGTTAGACAACACCTGTGGTACCCTGCCTTTATTTCGAATCCAGTTTTACCTCCCAGGACTTAGGCCAGTCTGTCCACCTCCTCTCCCAACAGTCACCAGAAATCATCTCCGTCCCATGTACCGTGTATCCACTCATGCTGAAAGGAATCAGTCAAGGGCCTGGGGAATAAGAGAGGAATGGGAACACAAGGAGGAGATAGGAGCATCTGCTTGAAACCAGACGACCAGATCGGAGACCACAGATGAAGAACCCAGATGTTGCTACCCATTCACCTGTCTGCAGCCCTACGCAAGCCATGAGAAGGCACACATGAGGTGAGCTCCTTCACATCTCACCCCTTGTCACCACAATGGGTCATTAATGGCCTTCACATTTACAGATAGATAGTGACATGCACTGGGTATTCTTCACCAAGACTGGTCATCGAGTAGTTCTTGAACTTTTAAATCTGAACTAGAATATCCGAGATGTGCCAAGGCAATTATAATGGGGGGGGGGGATGCCTGCATAAGAAATTTTGCACAGAAAACTCATATCATAGGGGCTCTATCCATGCCCCTGGTTGAAAAACATCCATTTGGACCATCCTTACAGGAATGGAGAGGTGAACACAAGGTCCCAGGTAGATCATGAAGAGTAAGCAGGCATGTTTCCTGAGCACACCAGGGTATCACCCTGGAGTCCTGCCTACCCTCTCCGCTTAGCTAAAAATCTGCCCTGTTTTCAAGGTCAAGCATTCCTGGATCATCCCTAAATGCTGAGAGTCTGGGCACTGGCGCTGTGCTCTGGGATTTAGTCCATATCACTGGGGACATCCCTCCTGCTTGCCTTCTCTAAGATTCTATCCTGGTGACCCTTGTAAGTGTCAAGACTACCCTGGCTTTGACAACATGGAAATGTGGCCTGTGGCCTGCCGCTTCTGGCCCAGGGGTTCTCAAGCTTCATCCCCATCACTCTTAAAGCGGGCACAGCAGCAGATAGTGACATTCAACACACTTTCCTCTTGGGGCAGAAATCCCATGAGATATCAAAGGCTAAGGGTGACCTTGTAACTAATTCACAATTATACGGATACTAACGGAGTCTGCTTCAGAGCAGAGGCGCTAAGCCTAACCTCTCCACCCTACCCAAGTCTCAAAGGGTCTCCCATCGTATGCCCAGAAACAGCAGGATTAAAGCTGAGAGTTCTGCTCTCTAGAAAGCAGCTCCCCACACCAAGATACCAGGCAAAGAACGCCAGTCCCTCTGCCCATGGCCACCAAATCCTGTCCTGTGGAATGCACGTTCCTATCACATCATATCTTCAGCGTCGCC